TTAATAGGCTATTGAACTTCATAAATTGGTAATTTCCTCTCAGGGAGAAATGATAGAAAACATTTCTGCTGAAGTGTAATTGAGTTTCTCTATTCATTTTAATCCTACAACAGAGGTAATGTATCCATCCAAATAAATTACTGTGTTGCTCAGAATAAGTTAACTTTGTACAGGCATCTTATAACTACTTTGATAAACACCGTAACACTCTATTCTAATGCAAATACAAAGTAATATTATAGGAAAGATCAAATATACTATGGAATAGATGTAGGTGCTGCCACCATGCATAGGCTTCTCTTATAATCAAATCAGTGCTATTTCATCCATTCATTCTCTTCCATCTCTACTCCCAAAATTATCACACACAGGCAGGAACCATTGGGGTGACATGGAAAATTTGTGAGCACCTTCCCACTCTTCATCCAACCTTCCAAGTCCCTGAATTCTGGAACAGGGAGGGTTTTTTGCCCTCCTCTTCACTCTTCCTAGCAGCCATTCTGGCAACAGCTTCTGGGAGCTGAAGATCAAAATATGGAGGCCTAAATGTTCCTCACCTCTATTTGGAATGTGAACCACTTAAGAGCAATAGAAAGGTACACAAAAACCTTCAGTTACAATGATTCCTTACACTGTTAGTATGTAAGCATAGACAGAAAGGAAGTGAGATGATGATCCTATACCCTGAGGAGGCAATCCTGGATAGCACTAGAAAACATCTGGTCAAAAAAGAAGCAGGCCACAGATGAAGGAAGCTGCGGTGATATGTGTGTGTGTGTGGGGGGAGGGGTATTATGTACAGATGAGATCTCTTCTCCCAGCCCTTCAGTGGTTGGTGTCCAGGCTTTTGGGTCTCATGGAACACTGAGAAAGAACAACAGTGCAACATGTAGTTGTCATCACCCAACAAGGCATCAAGCAAAGCTTTTTGCAGGAGGTGGTCACTGTTCAGAACCTCTTGCATGTGACTGGAGAGAGGCAGTTAGAACATAGTCCTTTGACACAGTGATAAGTTGATGGGTACAATGGAGATAGTGGGGATCTACATGGTGGTGATCCTCCATAATCTGCTGTAGTTGCCAGCGCTGGTGCTCAGTGAACTGTCATAGGTGTACTTGAGAGAAAGGGGTTCCTACAATTACTTCTGAAACCAAGCATATCTAAATCCTGCTGGGCAGTGACTGGTTTTCCAAATGCCACTGGGATTATTTCTTCCTGCCTTTCCAAATAAGGTCCTAGAGCTGTACCAAGCTGTGTATGCATTTCTGTGCATGCATGCATGTAGCTTTACCCATTCCCTTTCCATTCACATCAGTTTTCCTGGCTGAGTCCTATGTGTTTTCTAGCTGAAGTGGGAAGTTACGTTTCCCTAACAGAACTGGTTGAATCTGACTGCTCAGTTGTATTTCTCTCTCTTTCTGGATTCAAGGCTCCTTCCCAGTGAGGGATATTTTTCTTCCTTCCTAGTCCCAGCTCGGGGGCTAGATTTCATTGGCATAGAACTATCATTTTCCACAGGCTGCCCTGTGCTGTTGAAATAGACTCCAAAGTACAATGGAACAATGGCATAATAATGGCAGTGGGATTCAGTCCAAATTCTAGTTCTCAACTGAAGTTGTCTTTGCATAATCACTTGGGACTTTAAACAAACATTCAGGCACACCCAGACAGAAAATGTGATCAATTTCATTTCTGCACATCATCTTATATTCAACCATCTTTCATGACCTAGGTGGGAAAGGTATATTTTCCATTTATACCTATAATTGTTTACTCAAAGCTGGGATTCAATGCACCTTATAATACAAAAGAGAAACAAATAAAATAATTAACAATCTAAGGTCCACAGCCCATTTTAAAAAATATGCTCATACTTCTTTCTCTCTCTTTCTGTTCCTCTCTCCCCTTTCCTCTTTCTGCGTGCGTATTTTGAAAAGAACATCTTGCAATGCTGAGCTTTGTGTGAACTCTACTACGAAAATGACAGGAAAGTGGAGCATCCTTGTTCTGCAGGTGGCTTTACTGCAACTGAAGGTCATTGTAATTTGTGTCTGATGAGGTCTGCACATGGTAATCACAACATGAAGCACTTGTAGATGCTGGTTACTTATCACTTTCTAAATTAGGCACCCTGTTACAAAATTAACCTTAATTTTAACCTGGCATAAAATCAGACTGGCTGATTGGTAACTATTCAAGGAACACTTATTTGCTGAATGACTTGTTTTATGTTGCTCAATTTAAAATCTTTTGACAGAGGCTTTAGTATGGAACCATCAAGGAACCCCTTAACCTGGACACAGAGTTCTCTCAGTCTGTCTTTGATTCTCTTGGATACCCCGTGTAACATGGCAACGGTAGTGTCTTGAAAAGTTTTTTTTCTTTTTAATAGCAGCACCCAGAATCCAACTCTTTCTTCAACATGGCCATTTGCAGAAGTTTTAAAAATATATTCATACTACAACATGCAAAGAAAAAGAAGATAAAAATGAATATGGCAAACAAAAAGCTGAAAGCAAGGACTGTAGAGGAAGAAGAACCTTTATTAGATAAGAAATGTAGGTTGGGGTGGGGACCTTTTTGGCTTTCCAGATATTTTGTACCACAACTCACAATCCGTTCTATGTTAGATAGGCCTGATTGGAAATGCAGCCCAAAATATCAGAACAACTAAAGCTGATGTGCAGATGTTTTGCAAAATTATGAAGATGTTGGCTACCTGAAGAAAGTCAGTGCAGAAA